GCATTTAATTAAATGGTACCTACAGTTTTCTTCAAAATAAATAAATAATTAAAAAACATGGTTTTTGGTTCTAAAATGTGAGTGCATGTGTGATAAAGTTCGTTTATTTTGAAAGGGTTAGCAGGGGCTCACCAGGCTAAGAAAATCAGTGTGCTACCTTAACATATGAACTTACCAATATTTTGCCTTGTATTTTCCTGACAGCTTAGAACCCGTACTAGTACACTATTGGGTGGAACTTGTATGAGTTTGTTTACTTAGATTTATTTGTATTGAACTTTTTTCATTTTAATTTTAACATCTATAACTTTGTCGTTAAAGTTTATAGTTTCGGTGATAATTTTTTTTTCCATCGAAATCATTGATAGAGCCACCAGACGTTTTTCCACCATAGAATTGCGTAAAAAAGTCTTGATGCGATTTAAAGTAGAGAAGGAACGTTCGGCTTCTGCTGTTGACATGGGAATGGTTATCAGTATTTCCAAGAGCTTTTTAGTTTCTTGAAGTGAATTTGTTAAATTATTTTCAATGAGTAATTTTAAAAAAGGTATTGCCCCCTTCAGTTTCCTGCAGCCTGATCTGGAGTATATCACTGACAGTTCTGTTTTTAAACGTTCCTGATCAAGGTTAGGGTACGACTCGCAAGTTGCTTTTAATTTTTCATCAGGAAAACAATTAACGTAGTTAGCAAACTGGTCGGAATAAAACAATGAGGCTGCCAACAAATGATTTTTGTAATCAAATCTATTCTTAGCGCAGTTAATAATTATATCACAAACTTCTAACGCAGCAGTACGGTGATCAAACTGACTGTCATTGGTTCTTTTTCTTTTAGAAGGCATTGCTTCACAATCAACCGAAAATATTAAGTTATTGGCTTCGTTAATAATTTCTTCTATTGAATTTCTTACTGTCATAATGCTCTGCTCAAAAACTTGTATTTTTGGTTAATTTCTACAGGATCAATTTTTCTTTTTTGTAACTCATTAAACAAAATATCGGCATGTGGCATGATACGGTGAAAAAATGTTAGCCAAAAAATAAACTTTGGATCTTGCAGCATCCTTCTTATTGAAGAAGCTGCACTACAAACAGTTTGGTTGCTAAATGAATTTTCTATGTCTTCCATGCATTCAAGTATAGACTCTCGGTGTTCAAAAATAACGTTAACCGTTCTAATATTAAAATTCCAACGTGTTGGTGCACCATGTGGAATTCTTTTTCCAACAATTCTACTTAGAACAGCTACGCGTTGCGGAGAATTTTTAAAAAATGAAGGTATTTCTTGAAGATTTCCAAAAAAGAGTCGAACTTGGGAACTTCCAGATGCTGCCTTAGACATAATTAAATTTAGCTGATGCGCATAGCAGTGAACAAAATGAGCGAACTTGTATTTTTCTTTGACTTGTGCCTGAACACCAGTATTTCTGCCGCTCATTACAGCAGCTCCGTCGTAACTTTGGGCGATTAACTTATCTTTAGGATTTTCTAAAATAGGGTCTAAGACACTAAGAATATCAGCAGTCAAACTCTGTGCATTCAAATTTTTTGGCTCCAAATAAGTTCTCCATTTTGAATGTATCTAAAAATTACAACCATTTGAGATTTGGCTGAAACGTCCGTTGTTTCGTATGCCATAATAGAAATATATGAAACAGTTCGAATCTCCTCTAAAATTTTTTCCTGACAAACCTGCAACATGCAATCCAATATGTCATTTTGAATTTCTTTGGATATACCTTTAAACACGGTGGAATCTCTCAAATGTTCCCCCAGTGTTTTATCAAGTTCAGCGGTAAAATTTACAAGACCACGAAAAATTCCTGGGTTTTCGGATGTCGAAGTTTCATCGTGACCCCTAAGCGCAAGTTCGAACAATCCACAAAATTTTATGCAATCAATGATTTTGGATAACACATACCTGTTTTTTAAAACGTTTTCGTTAAACAATCGAATATTCGTCCAATATGCACTGTCCAGCTTTTCACGAATATTAACATTACCCATCAAACCCAGGTTCATAACATTGTTTAAGTGGTTTTTCGATGTTTCATGACGTTTAATTTTTTCGCTTAGGTGCACTAAGTCGGTTACACCAACTATGGTCCAAGTTTTTTCTCCACCAAACAAAAGGCACGGAAAACAAAAAAGGGAATTATTTTTATTGCATCCGCATATCCAGTCGTTTCTGGCATAAATGTCTCTTGTAAAAATCCTTTTATACGATTTTCCCCGGCTTGAACCACACTTTTCTATTAAAATACGGCCGTCCATCTTCTTTTAGTTTTAATTTTTCTTCATATGTATAGAGGGAGAATTTTTTAACATTAATTAAATCATACACCACATTCATTCTTACAAAAGAATACAACAACAAATACAAAACACAAAAATACACAGAATTAACAGTCTTCTAGTTAAAATAACAAACGTCTACGCGAAGCGAAAAACAAACGACCGGGAAGTAGGAACTGTATGTTGGTGCAGCTCCGGTTTGGCTTAAATTTCGTTATCTCAACCCAGGACCAAGAGCGGCGCGGAGCAAAATTACGGTATTGAAATGGGAACCAGAACTCGAAAGTGGCCCAGCTTTGTTGTGTTGTAAGCGTTAAGCGTTAGAGATCTTTACCGGTCGTTTGGATGACTGTAGTGGCCAAGTACGGCGAATGTTTATAATAAAAACTGTTTATGCAGCCATGCGTTTGAAATATGTATACACTGTCACACTTAAATATTAAATAATTAAAAAATTAGTCAAATAATAAGACAATTTTGGGAGTTCTGCAGCTCTGCAGCCCTTATGCACTAGCCGCCCCTGGTTCATGGGCTAAACACTATTCTGTAAACCATACACAACTTAATCACTTACTTAAAGGTTTAAATGAACATTTACACTTAAAATTACCCTGTGATGCAAGGACACTATTAGGTACAGTGCATCAAACTAATATTAAACATATTATTATGACAACTACATCGGGAAAGACTGAAGAATTTTGTTATATTGGTATTGCAATTTAAAATTTTGTTAAAAATTAAAAATGAGTTAAAACCTATTTTCAATATTGATGGTGTGCCACTCAGTAAAAGTTCAAATCGACAATTTTGGCCAGTATTAGGAAAAATGTATATACCTAATTTTAATATATATCCATTCCCAGTTGCCATTTTTGCGGAGATGGTAAGCCTAACTTATGGGTGCGAAAGATGCAATCAGCCAGGATTGCACCACCAAGGCAGAATGTTATTTAAAGAAACTACTGCCACATTAAGAACCGATGAAAGTTTTAGTACCCAGGAACAACCAGAACACTCGATTCCAGGCATTTATGTTTTCTTGGAGTCATAAAAAAACTAATTAAATACTGGTATTCAGATCCTGCAACTAAACTACATTTACGAGAACGCTCAAAAATATCAGAATACTTGAAGTATACCGGAAAATTTATACCAGAAGAATTTAATAAAAAGTCAAGAGGACTTCACGAGTTAGACCACTGGAAAGCCTCAGAATTTCGATTATTATTATACATGGGTGTGGTAGTTTTAAAAAACATATTACCATCTGCGTTTTACCATCATTTTCTGTTATATAATTCTGCTTTAAGAATACTATTTTCTAAGGATCTTTCCAGTCATAACTTAAACTGTGCTAGGAAATTGCTTTTATCTTTTGTAAGCGATTTTGAAAAAAACTATGGTGTTAACTCATTAATTTATAATGTACATAGCATTTTACATATTACTGACGATGTCCAAACTTTAAAACTTAATTTAAATGATTCAAGCTGTTTTTCATTTGAAAGTTATTTAGGAAAACTGGTTAAATTAGCTCAAGTGGTAAGACTCCTGTCGTAAAATCAAAAAATGTTTTATAGTAAGAAAGGAACTCAATTTGAAAAATATTTTTTCTCATCAAATAACTTTAAGGATTCAAAAATAATAAAATTGGAAAAATTAAGTCAGTTTATAATAATGATATAACTGTTTTAAAATGTTTAGGACAAAAAGATTATTTCAACTATCCATTTCCATCAGGAACTATTGGCATATTTGGCATAGGGGTGTGCGAATAATTCGAATTTACGAATAATTCGTATCGAATCGAATATTATTATTCGATTCGAAATTCGAATCGAATAATTCGAATTAGCGAATTATTCGAAAATTTCGAATCATTCGAAAAACCCACGAATTATTCGAAAATTTTCGAATTATTCGAAAATTTTTCGAATAATTCAAAAATTTACGAATGATCCGTGAATGGATGAATAATTTAAAAATTTTCGAACCCATCGTCAATTTTTTTGATATTTTTCGAATTTTGAAATGTTCAAACCTCTGATTTATCATGCTAAACATTTTAAGTACTTCGTAAACAAATAATGGCATTATCATGAAAAATATTGAAAGTACAAATTACAGATAAATATATTATTCGTAGTTTTAATTAACCGGAGTAATGGTTGAGGATATTTAAAGCAAGATATTCTATTAGAAATACAAATTTATTTAACTACATGTAACTACAAATTCTTGTTTAAAAACAATAAATAAGACACTGAATCAGGTGATAATGACGTACGTTTGTCTGTGACAATATCTCCAGCTGTTGAAAATAGTCTCTCACTCTCGGCAGAAGTGCAAGGTATCGCCAAATATCTTCTTGCCATAGTTGACAACCGAGGATATTTATTTTTCTCTTCTCGCCACCATAAAAGTGGATCTTGGTGAGGACTTATAAGTTCAGAGTTAACATAATATGTCATTTCTTGCGAAATTTCTTTTCGCAAATCTTGTAAACTTTTTTGTCGAATATCAACAGCTGGTTTTTTCATGAAGCTCCAAAAATCAGAGTATTGTTTTCCACTAGCTGAAATTTAAAAAAAAATGTAGTCACGAGACTTATTTAGAACGGGGACGATAATCAAACTAATGAATTTGAATATTACAAATACTTACGTTCCCTAGTAAGAGGAGCATGTTCTTCAGAATCCTCGTCATTTATTAAAAATCTCTTGCTTTATGTCTTCCTCAATAATCTCGATCTCGTCTTCATCATAAAAGTAATTCTTGTATCTAGGATCTAAATAAGTACTTTTTTTAAACATAATATCATGTTCGACCTCTGAAAATCTAACGTCGAGATTATTTAAAATATTATCCGCAAATTCTCTCCCTACTTCTGCTTCTTCCTCATAATCAAATTCGATTTTTTTTAAACCTTTCATGATGCCATATAGCAAAGGTTTAACCATTGATAACGTCGGGTATTTAACGCCACATGACATTTGAGTAGCATCATACAAAGGCTTCATCACTTTTAATAAATAATTCACTGTGGCCCATTCAGTGCCTGATATAGATTCTGAATCTCTTGATTCAGCTAGAACTGTTGACAAAGGTTTTTGTAATCTTTGCATCCGTTCTAGCATTTCGTATTCAGAATTCCATCGAGTGGTGACCATTTGAATCAGTTGTAAAGGCTCAGAATTATTTATCGCGCTCTGTGCTTCTTCAAATTTGCGTCGCGCTGGATCTGAACGATGGAAGTGACCAGCAATCTTTCGGAACTAGAACACAATTAAAATATAAATAATAATGATTTGTTACTTATTGAATAGATATACAATTAAAGGAAAAAAAATTACTTTAGATAATAATTCCCCTACGCCAGGAGTCGACGTCTCAGCATCCTTCAATACCAGCTGAAGTGTATGTGCAAAGCAATAAAAATGTATCGCTTCTAACTGAGAAATTGCAGATGATATATTGCGAGCATTATCCGTGATAAAAAAAATCGGTACGTTATTAACTTGTGATAGATCCCATTCGGACATCATGTTTGATAAGTGATTTTTAAGGTTACTACCAGTGTGTCGATCAAGTAATTGTTTTATGTTCAGCATAATATTTTTTGGAGAAAAATCAGCAGTTAAGTAGTGTAAAGTCAACGAAATGTAAGAATCATTGGCTTTAGATTTCCAACAATCTGTTGTGAATGAAAGGCTCATAAGGCCTGATTCTATTTCTCTACTTAATTCCGCGATTAATTTTTGTTTGGTTTTATGATAAAGAATAAGAGCGAGACTGCGGGAAAATGTTGTCCGACATGGTGGTTCATAGTCAGGAGACAATTTTTTCAACAGATTTCTAAATCCGCGATCCTCAACACAAGAGAATGGTTTTAAATCAATTGCAATCATTTCCATGATGAGCTGATCAATTTCTTGTTTTTCTGGAACAGACAGAGAACTTTGTTTTTGTTTTTTTGTTTTTTCTTCTTGATCGCCATCAGCATTCTTGCGTTTTCGATTTTTTTCTTCGAGACATTTTTTATAATCATCTTCATGTTTCGCTCGGAGATGATTAAACATTGGTGAAGTGGTTCCTATATAAATGTATATTTATGATTATAACTTGCTAATAGACAAAAAACAATAATAAATTGATAAATAAAATACCTGTAGGTAAACTTAAAACTCGGGCACAAAGATTGCAGATTGCTTTTTTACTGTTTTTTTTATCCAGCTTAAAATACATCCAAGCAGCACTACGTACAGAGCTATTTACATTTTCAGTAACAATATCATCAGTATTGTTAATATCCTCGTCGGCATCAACATCAGTATCAGAATCATCAACAATCATTCTATTTGAAATAACATCAACTTCTACTTCGATTTCTTCGGACATTATGTTTTATTGAATTAACTTGATTAACCTATAAAAAAATTTATTCTATAAAAATTATAATAAGTTTCGTTAACAGAAGACTTTCAATAAATATTTATCAATAGTTAACAAATTCATTAGAGATCATTTGTTTATGGTCATAAAAATTTGTTACTCTCTTATAAATAATCTGTTAAATTCAATGAATCGTTGAAGAACATACTTGAATGTATTCCAATGTATAACCTCACTTTGTCAAGTTATATAAATATTTATTATATAAAAGTGTTAACATAAGTAGAGAATCAGTTAATAATTGCTAAAATAATGATAATAATAGTAATAAAAAAGTTTTATTATTAATTTAAATTCAAATATATCGCGTTACAGATGCCATAAGGGCGTATAGGCTTATTATACGCCCTTATGGCATCCGGGGACCATAAGGGCGTATAATAAGCCTATACGCCCTTATGGCATCTGTAACGCGATATCGTAATAAAAAGAAATCGTTTTGTTGTAATGGATTAAAAGATATAGGTTAGATCGAGTAGATGATTCAAAAATTTATTAATAATATCTGGCAAATAAATATTTCTTAACTATTAATAAATGTTGTTTGTTTTAATATAATTGACATACCTGATTAACAATTAAACACTTACACAGCACAAAACAATCACTTAAACCAGTAAAACAACAAATCGTCAGAGATCGTTACGCTCGGTACTGTCACTTTGACGCTTCTCCTAGCTGTCATAGCACACCATGCATGGCCCGCGCGGGCCCGCGACGTGCCCGGCCGGGCAAAATGCCCGTACGGGCCGAATTGGACATGCATGACTTAAACTTGTTTAGAGGAAGCGTCTTTGTATTAACAGTATTCTTCTGCTCAGCTGATCGTTTTTATCGACATTGATTTGAAGTTAGCTCCATTTATGTGAAGTTACTTTAGTATGAATCCTTAGAAACCGGTAAATGCCGTAAATAACCGAATGCTGATATAAAAAGAGTAAGATACTCTTTTTGAGTTGAATTAATTAGTTAAAAAATTCAAGAAAAAGTCTTACAATAATAATATTAGTAATATTTTGAGTAATAAATTAACTTATTATGGAATATAATTCACAAATTACTCGGAAACTTTGAATTACTTCTTTAAATTTACAAATTATTAGGAATATTACATAATTAATTAAAACAGAAACGAACTTTTTGAAAAATTCAAATTATTCGAAAAATAACGAATAATTCGAAAAATAACGAATAATTCGAAAATTTTCGAATAATTCGAATTTTTCGAATAATTCGTAAATTCGAATTATTCGATTCGAATTTCGAATCGAATAGTACTATTCGATTCGATTCGATTCGAACGCTATTCGCACACAATATTATTTAAGTTTCTTCAGATAAGCAATGACGAGATTACATGCAAAATTTCAGATATAAAATATAAGTTGCTTGTAATTAAAGAATTAAATAAAAATTCATATGTAGCTTTTGAAATCTTACACACAAGTTAATTAACATAGTTTTTTCTAAATTATTTATTATATATTTTAAAGAATATAGAAATAAAATACTAAAACTTTTCAATGCCTTTAAATATTTACTAATATGAGTTACCTTAAAGAGTATAATAATAATAATAATAATAATAATTTTATTAATCCAATTGACATAGATAACATTTATATGTATAGGACAAGTTACAGAAATACAATACACGAACTACAATTAAATATACTCGGAGATACCTACAAATTTATTCTAAAAACTTATTCAGTTCATAAGGACATTCCTCAATTAAAAGGTCTTTCAGTTTTCTTTTAAAAACATTATAATTTTTTGTTTCCTTAATATAATTGGGCAAATTGTTAAAAATTTTGATGCCAGAAAAATAGGGTGACTTTTTAAACAAAGAAGTTGTGTGTCTCGGTACACATAGTCTTGAGCCACTTCTTGTGGAATATGAATGAAAATTACTATTAGTTGGGAATTTTCCTAAGTTATTAAAAACAAACTTCATAATTTTTGATTTATAAAAGTATCTCTACAGGAAGCCCTACCAGGTAGGTTAAACATTATTCGGATTGCGCGCTTTTGCATAATAAATACTCTATTTGCTGATGTTCCTCTTCCCCAAAAAATGTATATTATAAGATATGTGCGAGTAAAAAAGTCCATAATAGGCATTTAAGATATACTTATAGGTTAATAATTATTAAAAATATTAAGTATAATAAAGTTCCTACATAGTTTAATTTTTACAAGCTTAATGTTTATTTGATTTATTTTACTGATTTTTGTCTTATGTATTATCACCTGATTTACAGAATAAATTTTAAATGTTGTCCTGGGACCTGGTTTTTTGGGCAAATAAGGAATGTGTCGATTACATTCTATCAATCTGGGCTGTCAAGTGGCCGCAAGGAGTGTCTCAAGATGTGCGGCAAGCTTTAATTGATGCTTGCGACCCTTTAAAGTCAATAAAGTATCCCATAAACAAAGGAAGACCAAAGATAATAAACATAAGAGACTTAAAAAAAGCCAAAAAACTATGTGAAAGAGCGCTTTACACTTCTTGTGTTGAAACTACCGACGTTGAAATACCTGCATCTTAACATTCGGATAGTACTTATAGTGACAATGAAGACATGCAGACTGTTATTGGTAAGTAATCTAAATAAAAAAATAATTTATATAAATCGGTTAATAACAAGTCTTTTTGTTGTTTTAAAGCCCACAGTGCATTCAAAAACTACCTCAATAAAATGCCAAACTAGTATGATATGCGTAAATTTGTGATTGTATTTTAGCCATTACACCACCAAAAACATCAAGTAGTATAAATCCAGACAAAAGTAACAAAACGCTTAAGGCCATATATTTTAACAATCACAGTAGTGATGATGATTTGCTATCAATTAAAGAAATTGCTCGTAAGTATATTTTATAACGTTAAAATAATAACTACTTTACTAATAATTTTCTTAATATTTTTAGATTCTAGTAGATCCAAAAATAAATTGCATGTGACCGCTGGTCTGTATTATATGTATGTACATACAACTACAACTAAACATATTTTCAATTTGATATTTTTAATGTAAATGTAAAAATGTGTTTTATTTCCAGAATCTACACCTTCATTTACTAGAAAGTCTCTTGAAGACAATACAACAAGTTTTAACAGGCAAAAACTAGATTTGACTAAATCACCATTACTCCTTAATTATGCAGAAATTGTATTGTTTGTTTTATCTATTTACAGTTAAGTACTTTAAAAGTTTAATTATATTTTTAGCTTCTGAAAGATTGATGTTGAAAGAAATTAAAAAACTAAACTGGGAAATAGGCGATTTAAAAAAAAAATTAAACAAAATTCATGATATGTTAGTTGTAAATAATTCACTCAGTATTCAAAGTTCCAATGAAGGACCTTGGCAGCTTCCTATCACTTGAACAGCTAGAACTGCACTTGATGGAAGAAAAAAATTCTGAAATGCTGGTAAGAATTATGTTCAAAGTTCGGTACAAATTATCATGTTATTTATTTTATAAAAACCGTATAGGGTCACCGATTGTACCTTTGTGGTGGGGACACTGTCCACAAGGCAGTTTTTCTAATAATGAATAAACTATTATCAAGAGAAGTGGCTGTCCTATACTCAGGGTCTGGAAAAAAAGGAAAGCTATCCTTTCGACTATTTCACTAGACTATTTTTAAGTAATAAAATGTAATAGTAACGGCACGTTTTCTACTGACAAAACTCCTGCCCGTGATTTCTCAGCGACAAAATTATGGTTTTGTACTTCTATTGTTGTCAGTTTGACAAACAATAAAATTAAAGTTGTTTTGATATTATTACAAATCCGTCACCAAGGTGTTTTATACTTCTATTGTTACCAGTTTGACAAACGTCATTGTGAAATAATGAATCCACGCGCAAATTCACGATTTGGGTGCCATTCAGATGAACAAATAAAAAAATTGGTTTCAGAAAATATCCCATTAAATACTCAGAGGTCCAGAAGCTCTATTTGGACCCAATTCTCAGAATTCCTACGGGTGAGAAATTTTACACTGAAAAAATGTACTACCGCGACGGAACTAGCAAAAATTCTGGAAGATTACGCCTTTAATATGAAAAAATGCAATGGCGAAGACTATAAAGAGTCGTCTGTAAAGTCTATGTGGAATTCAACTGCAAAAATGGTACAAGAAAAATATTTTACGGAATACGGCATAAAAATCGATCCTTTCACGGATATACATATCTTTCAAATGTTCAAGATTGGCCAGAGATACCAAGCGAAGGCAGCTTCAAAGTTGTCCAGAAAAAAGAAAACTTAGTTCAAAAGCATTATCCACCGAAGAACTTTTAAAAATGATCCAAAGCTACGACGAAGAAACCCCCGATGGAGCACAAAAAAAGTTTTTTCGGGTCCAGAACACTATAGCACACTCTGAATTTCCAAAAAAAAATTACCATTTGAAAAAGGACGTTTTAAAAAGTACATTTCATAAATAAAAATTGCGGGTTTTTCACTAGTTTTTGAGAAAATTAAGTTTGAAAATGCTTTTTTTGACAGATTTTTTGACAAGAACTGTCAAGAAATGCCAGATTCAAAGAAATTCATCGCAATGTTGCCAGATGTAAAATTTTTACGCTGTTTGGGGAAATTTATTATTCCTAATTACATACATACATACATTTTATACCTTTTATTTTTTAGAGAACTTTAATACATGAAATATTTTTTTGTTCCGTCCACGACTGTCCATAATAAAAAATTATCACGTTTTATAAAATATTTCTGACATTTCTTTTATTTAATGTATAGCCTTTTATAAAAATTTTTTTTGACAATTTTGATGCCAAAATAATATATAATAAATTACCTTCAATTTTTTTTTAAAGTTTTGTGATTTTTGCCGTCCGCGTGATTGAAATGGCTGTTTTAGTTCTAAATGACTTATATATAATATATATATATACATATATTTATATACA